GCACACATATTTTTGTAGATACTGGGCTGTTGACACGGTGTATCAGGAAGAGAGAGGGCTGTTGAGATGCGGCTAAAATGGATCTCCTCTGAAAAGGCCAGTCGTCGAACACAAATACAAGGTTGTTTTTGGCTCCTATTCCTGCTTCTATTTTTGTCTGGCAGAAGGAGCGGCAACAGCCGGGGTTGTCCATTCCCCTGCTAGGCTTTAGTATGTTTCTGTGCGTGAGCAACGACATTAATGAGGAGGAGGATGTTTTGATTGATAGGGATATAATCTGCTCAGTGGTATAGACTGTGGAGATAATATATAGGCTAGTATCACAGCCAAGATTTGAAATCCTCAAGTCCTAAGTGTGCAGTAATAAACATTCAAGTCACCATCATACTGTCTTGGTTGCATCACAACTTGTCAAGTCCAAGACTGACTCCTCAGCAGATGAGTGAATTTTCTCATGACTCATCAATGCTGGGACTCGAGTAAAACAACGTGAGCCGCGATGAAAATGTAAATGGAGAGGATGGTAGTTTTCCAAAGTCATTTGATAAGCGGTAGAATGTTTTTGCTCGTCGTCTGTAGACAATATTCTCTGCAGCAACCATTTGGATCACCAAGAAAACTATTTTCCCTACGATATTGGACAACACAAACTAATTATTAGGCATAGCAATGTATTGGAAAAATGCTCACATTAGCATGCTAATGTTTAGAAGGTGTTATGTTTATCAGGTTCACCGCCTTCGTTAAACTTGTTAGTGTGCAAACATTTTCAAATGAGCATTAAACATAAAGTGTAGCTGGGGCTGATAATGTCATTAGTTTAGAATATTTTTGTCAAAATTATTAAAAGCATATTATTTTTTACCTAATTTGCTAGATGAAATGTATCATCAGGGGAGGCACAAAAGCGGTGGAGAGATCAACATTTGTCTTGTTTTTCATTTTTATAATAAGCTGTTCGCTAACATGTTGCAGCAATAAGGTACAACTCTCTACACGTAGGTAAAGTCCAAATGTATTGCCCTCTCGTTACTTTGTTCATTTCACCACTTGACCCAACCGGGGTGATCAACTTTCCCTTTCTAGTGTGACACAGGAGCAGGTCTAGTTTCCTTATTTCTGTTTGTCATGCAAGTGGGCTCTTACCTGGTAACTTGGCATGATTCTAGGAAGAGCAGATGTAAGAAGAAGTCAGCAAGTGTATCATTTAGCACATAATGTGTTTATGTCTCCTGCTGTTTAAAGCCCGATCTAAACTGACTAATGTTTCTCATCTCGGCTCTCTTTTTCTCTCACTCTCAAACCTAATGAATGCAGGATGTCTCATCCGAGGATTTCAGCTCATGTGCACATTATTACCATCAGTGATGTAACAGTGTTACAGAGAGAAATGCCTTTGCATATTAACACTTTTCTGGCCTCTTTTTGAGCTTTTGTAGATTAATTAGAGCCTAGAATTCTAACTACTATTGAAAGAAAAAGGTATGAAAAGAATGGTTGACAGGAAAATATGTACACGTTGAATTACGTTTCTGACTGACTGAGATTGAGATATTGCAGATCTAAATATGTATTTACTTGCATGATGATATTAAAAGATTTACAGGGCAGAATGAGCCTGTGACTATAATGACTAAATGTTTCTGAAGAAGTGTAACGGTCATTCTGCTACATGAAACTTGGTTAGGACAGGAAAGCAAGGATGTGAGGGATGTTATCACATATCAAATTCGTATTCTAAATGCTTGTGGACAAGATTGGAAGAGGTTCATACAGCTGTGGGGTTTAGAGGAGCGGACACAGCTGCTATTTCAAAATGTGAATGCAGTTTAACTTGGACTCTGCGGTCAGTAATCTGGCGGCTGTGAGGCTCGAGTGCTCGGCACAGGATATGGAGAACATGGTTTCTATTCTGGCTGAGGTGGAGACTCTTCACCTGGCAGGAGAGCAGCAGAAGCGGTTTAGGTATGAAGCGAGGATGTGTGCAGTGAGTGGGATGGCAGTGCAGACTCATGATGACCACACATTTACTGTACGTTATCGGGGAGAGGAGGGAGTGAGATAACAGGATTGCTGGTTGTGGTTATCCTGCTGAAATCAGGCCAGAGCTGCAGTCATAAAAGGTTCAGAGCATCTCAAAGCATTCCCTGTTTTCTCAACAAATGTGCTTGGAAAAGTGAAATAGACATCAGGTTAACTAGGTGAATTTATTTGAATAGATAATAGAAATAGAGAGTAGAGATTAAATATGTTGGTGATGTTAGTGCCAGAGATGTGTAGTGTTGCAGAGGTCTTTACTGTCTTAAACATGTATCTGTGTCTGAACACTTTTGTATTACAATTAAATGTGGGTTATTAGCTTCATAGTAAGTGGTTATTTTGCTATTTTATTTTTAAAGTCTTGAGTGTTGAGGTCTGATTAGTAATAATTTATATTTACTCTATTGTGCTTTGGGGATAAAATAATACAAATACAATACATTACAATACAATACAATAATTAACAGACATTTCTTTATAAAGCTTAAGTGCATCAATCAGGGTTTATTATACAATTTGTTGAATACACATGAGACACATTTTTGTTATAGAGGTCCTGACCGGCACAGCAAGGGGTGGCATTTTCTAAAAACCAAAAAAAACATTTAATGTGTAATACAATATACCCCAACTAATGAGATGATGTTTTAATGTTTCTACCTGTTAACAGATTATTTCTGTAAAGTCACTTATTTTTGATATGAAACACTATACGTAAAGCCTGGTTGCATTACACATGTGTACCTGTGTCATTTACACGACAAAGTGTCCCTCTCACTGTCAACTCGGTGCAGCTCTGCTGTCGCTGCTCTCATGTCACAATATCGATGTGATCCGTGTCGACCGTGTGCATCGCCGCTTTGTTGATGAGTCGAGGGGCCCGGCTACCGTGTCACAGGTGTGATGCTGAGAAAGGTCAAAAGCTGGGAGACAGATGGCCTGTACACACAGACACACACAGACAGACAGACAGACAGACACACACACACACACACACACACACACACACACACACACACACACACACACACTCAAACACACTTTTAACACTCCAAAGGAACATAGATCTATTGTGCAACTCAGATGGGCATCGCTTCAGCATCACACACACACACACACACACACACACACACACACACACACACACACACACACACACACACACACACACACACAAGCAGATGTCTAGTAAGCATCTCTCTTTAGTGGTATAAAGAGAAGCTGAATATTTATTTTACTAATAAACTATTGTTATTATTACCTGTTCCTAGTGCCACCATAATTAGTTCTACTGCTAATAAAAAATGATAACAGTTCAAGTAATTATGACTCTTAAAAGTTGGAGGGAAACCTGAAGACAGAAAGAGCATAATCATATACAGAAGCCATTGTTTGCCTTTTTTTTTTACTCTACTCACTTATGTAACCTCCCTCTATTTGCATCTAAACTCAACTGGTTTAGCAACTGTTGTCTTTCATGATCTGACTTAGTTTTGTAGGTGTCTTTTGATTACCTTGTCCGCTTTCTAAAAATAATAATAATTTGTTCAGTTTTGTAGTTCTTATTTTTTTATTTTCTAATATATCTTAATGTCAGACTGTGACAGATTGCCAGTGGCCTTTTTAATTAATGGTTGAACTGATAAAAACACCCGGGACAAAATGCAATTATGCCCAGGACTTTTGAATCCCCTTCAAGGTCTAATTCTTCATACTTTATAAAGCCATGCTATTTAATACAAGTCTGTACAGGAATAATTGTAACAACTCTCCACTTGATGCCATCATCAGTTCAATATTGACCTGTGTCCATACTTTGTCCCATCGTCATCAGCTGTTTTTAAGAGTATGATAATTAGCTTAGTTTGCTTATCAAATGCCAGCATGCTAACTACTTAAAGTAAAATGGTAAACATGATTTAATCCATGTTAGCATGATGATTCATCCTTAATCACAAATCTCCAGAGCAGAGCAACAGGACTTTATACTTAGTCTTGCTATAAATATTGTATAATGCTTGGTCAATAAACCAACAAAAAAGATATTCTCCCTACTGTCTTGAATTCATCTGCCATCTAGTGCTGCGAGTTATAAAAGGATCTGAGAGACAGTGGAGGTTGGTGTATCTTTTGCAGCCATGGATCAGAGACAGGGTCATGCTTCGTCCATCACTCATCACCTACCATACCACCAACACTTTTCAACATGTAAAAGATGTATCAATTTCAATATACTACATATTAAAATTTTAGGGTATATATGAAAAATGATAAAAGTAAGGAATGTGTGTGGTGTGTGTGTAAGTGTGGTGTGTGTGTGTGTGTGCTGTGGTGTGTGTGTGCTGTGTGATGTGTGTGTGTGCTGTGTGTGTGTGTGTGGTGTGTGTGATAGTGTGTGTGTGTGTGTGTGTGTGTGTGTGGTGTGGTGGTGTGTGTGTGTGTGTGTGTGTGTACGTGTGTGTGTGTGTGTGGTGTGTGTGTGTGTGTGTGTGTGATGTGTGTGTGTGTGTGTGTGTGTGTGTGTGTGTGTGTGTGTGTGGTGTGTGTGTGTGTGTGTGTGTGTGTGGTGTGTGTGTGTGTGTGTGTGTGTGTGTGTGTGTGTGTGTGTGTGTGTGCTGTGTGTGTGTGTGTGTGTGTGTGTGTGTGTGTGTGTGTGTGTTGTGTGTGTGTGTGTGTGTGTGTGTGTGTGTGTGTGTGTGTGTGTGTGTGTGTTTATCCCTGTGTCGTGTTTGTGGGTGCCGGTATTGTTCTCCTACGCACTTGAATATAAGTACCATGTTTCTTTTCTGGGGGTAATGATGTTGTTCCCTGTCATATAATAATAGTGATACTTGGGCAGGCTTCCTCACTAACAGTTGGTCTTTGTGTGAGTATTTAGGTGTGTGGGTGTTTGCGTGTCAAAGGTGGCTTGTGAGCAGAGGCGTTTGTGAGTGTGTGTGCAGGCGTTAGACAATCACCATTGTAGAACACCGAGTATGGAGGCATCTGACCCTCAATAATAGATGTGGCTGCAGTGAATATTTAATAGGTGGGGGATGTGTGGATACATGCACGCATTTACACACCCGTACGTGGGGAAATAGAAATATAATATCCACGCTTGTATGACTTTTAGACTGAGGCTCATGGGAAAGTGGTCTCTGTGTGGTCGAGTGATGCTCTCTGTAAAAGATACTGTGTGTGGACGTTAGCCAGCCGGCTACTTTAGCTTTCACTCCTTCCTCACTCTTCTCTTCTTTTTCCAACAGGGCGCTCAGGATAATGCTGGCGGTCAGGAGGGCCTCGTACCCCCGCCTTTCTCTGCCTTCCCTCCACCTCCACCGCCGCCCCCCCCAGAACGGCCTGGCCCTGGATTACGGGGGCAGCCTGTATGCAGCGGGGGCCGTCCAGGGCCCCGTGGAACTCGGTGGAGCAGTGAACAGTGCCGCCAACGCTGCCAGCCTCAGTGTCCAAGTGAGTGCCAGTCTCTTCCTCTGCAGCCCACATCAGGGCTTTGCCTTGAAAGGGCAGCGAGAGCGAGAGTGTGAAGGATCAGGTTCTAAAGATAACAAAATAGTAGAAATTCTCTTGGACGCACCAATCTGATTGTTCTTTTCCCAAACATTAGATTAGAAGTATTTATTTGTTATTATACAAGTACAACGAGAAGATTAAAGCTATCAAAACATTCAGAATGGACAACATACAACAAAGACTAGCAGCATTCATACATACATAAAACAAAATGAAGTGCAGGAAATAATTAAAGTAGTATATCATAATAAATATGTTTGTGTGTATAATATTGCACATGTATGGGTTATTGCACAGGGAGGAAGACTAAGCGGTAATAGCGCAAGAGCTCATTGCCATGATTGCTCTGGTACGCAGAATCAGTATACTGAACGTTAGTCATTACAGATATGATACCATTGGCCCTTTCCACACATTAACATCTGTAAACCTCTCTATGTATAAATAAATACACTTTTTTTAATCAGGTCAAAGTATATTGAGATAAAAAAACTTCTTCAAGAGTGACGTGGCCTAGAGGGCAACCTCAACAGTCTTACCGCAGTAAACACAAACAACACAAGCAGAATAATACAACATTTCTATACCACCTAAAGCATCTCTATGGCTTAAAGATTTAATGTTGTACCTGAACTTGGAGAAGATTAAATATAACCTGAGGGGCTCCTCAAAACTATTTGAATCTGTCTGGGGCTCTATGATAGCCTACATAGCTGAACTTAAGACACTAAATTAAGACGAAAGGGGTGGAACTACGAATGTATGTGTATGTTTTTTGTTTTTTTTCCTTGTGTCTCTGTTTTTTTTTTAAATATTAATTTGTATTTATTTATTTTTATTTATTTGTTCTGTCTTTGTATGTATGTATGTATGTATGTATGTATGTATGTAGGTACGTGTATGTATGTGCATGTGTACATGTGTGTGGGTATGTACACTCACGTATGTGTATATGTGGGTATACATATGTGAGTATATGGGTACATGTATTACTGTTACTATTCTTTATTCCCTTATCTATACATTTTCTTTTAATATTATCTTCTACATTACTTTAACCTATACATGTATCTATTTTATTTAGTTAGTTATTTAATTTACTAGCTAGGACCGGGAGGGGGGGAAAGGGGAACAATAAATAAAAATATTGACTGTATAAATGTAAACTCATTGCGCCTGACTCAATAAAAAAAAGATTAAAAAAAAAAAAAGAATAATACAAAACACTTGAAATGAGTGCACAATATACAATAAAGGCCCAGTAGTACAATAACACAATGCATACACACAATGCTAAGAATCGAGAGAATGACTGGCAGATCATTAGTAAATTAATTGTTTGTTGCAGGCTGGAGTGTAAACATTAAATGATTCCTCTTTATTCTTCCCAGCAGTCAGATGGGTCCTCCCAGATTGACGGTCAGTCGGGTGTTGGCTCAGGAGGTGGAGGGAGCATCGGGGACGATACAGACGCCAAGGGGTCGCCCAAACGCCTCCACGTGTCCAACATCCCCTTCCGCTTCAGAGACCCCGACCTACGGCAGATGTTTGGTGTATGTAGACCGCAATATCCCCCCTTTGTACCAATATGCATTATTACATAACCTAGAAAAGTAGCTTTATATTAAAGCTTCTAGTAAGTCAAAAGAATGACTCAAAGAACCAATACACTGACAACAGCACTGTGTCTTCAGATTTCTATTTTTATAGTTTTATTTTGTGTCCTCAAATAGGATTTTCAAATGAAAGAAGTCTTTTTCCTGTCAGTTTCAGCTAAAAGTTATCCTTTTTTTCATATTTGGATAAAAAACTAAACCTTTACCTGGAAAGCCATCTTGTAGAACGATTTTATATGCCAGATGTGAATATCTGGCCTTATGTTAGGCTTTTTGTAAGAGGAATGTTTTTGAAATGTGGTGCAGAGGAAAGAAGGATATGATGGGGGAAAAAAAAGACTGCCAAAGCTGGCTCAATGCCAGCTCATCGTGGTTGGTCAGTGCTGACACCCTGTGGCAAGAAGCAGTACAAGACTCACGTGCTTGTTCAGCCTCTAAATCTTCCTCGTCTTTTTTTTTTACAGCAATACGGCAAAATCCTTGATGTCGAGATCATTTTCAATGAAAGAGGATCCAAGGTATGAAGTTATTAAAATGTGAAGAAAAAAAACCTTGTTAACAGAAGTGAGTTCAGCAAAAGATTAATGTGTATTTTCAACCCCCTCTCGCTCTCCCCCTCTTTTCTTTTTTCCATCTCCTTGTCTCCTCTGCTCTCAGGGTTTTGGTTTTGTAACTTTCGAGACGAGTGCAGATGCAGAGAGGGCCAGGGAGAAGCTTCACGGTACACTGGTGGAAGGACGTAAAATCGAGGTAACTCACCACCCTTGGCTTTTTTTTAAACGGCGACCATTTTCTTCTCTTCAGGAGTTTCCCCATTTCATGTCCGATAATTAGACTGAGTCTGTTCTGGTCATTTCTGCCCCAGAGAAGGTTTCCGGGTGGCTGTATGTGTCTGACTCTAACCCCTCTGGCTTCACTATAGCATGGTGCAGTGGTGCCACGCACACCACGCACACAGGCATCTCTCTGACGGCACTTCCTGTCGATGTTTATGCTGTCGTTGTTGTTGATGTTGTGGGCTGTCCATTGCACCTTGATCTTAAAGCTGTGTGGTTTGCAAAGCATGCTGTGTGGAGTGGCTAAACAACAGGCATGGCCGGAAAGACGTCACTACAACACGGGTGCTGTCGATATCCGCTTCTGTAACAGCATGTAGGATCTTTTCTCTTTTTTTGTTTCTCCTGCACCTTTTCCATCACCATCATCACTTCTGTCACGGTCATGATGAGTGGCCATCTTTGGTTTATTAATGATTGGAAGGGGGCGTTATTAGCCTCTCAGTTATTTTTCCTCTGAAAAAAAAGTGCTTGCTGATGATTGTGAGAGGCTACTCTATGTTGCATGGATGGATGATAAGGTCAGATATCGTCATGGAGTTTTTTTTACTGATAACCTCACACGGGTGACTCTGGGTAGCAGTCTTTTTTAATGAATGACCGGTTAGCAGACAGGGATGCATGACGGGAAGCAATTCAAGGGGACGTTTTTTTTTTTTGTTGGAATGAGACTGCCGTGAGAAGTGTGGTGTCATTTCTGATGCTTCAAAAAAACTGTTTAATTTCAGACATGCAAGATGGATGGTAAAAAACAATGTTTTGTTTACACACACACTTGCATCCACCACTGCTGAAAAGAACACCAGATATCACGGAAGTGCATTTTGTTGTGACATCTTTTATTATTTGTCAGCATGAGTTCAGATTTCAGTTGCAAATGGCCTTGGAGATCAGATACACCATGCTTATGCCATTTGCTCTGGCTCTTAAATTCACGCTTTATTTTTTGACTTGCCACTAAAGCTCCTCTGCATGCATGATCTCGAAAGTCTTGCACTCCTCTCTGTCTGTGTGTGGGTGGTGAAGAATTAAAAATATGGAGGACGGAGAGAGAATGCAAGCAGTCGTTCCCTCTCCTGTCTTTGTTTCCTTTCTTTTTATTGGTTCTCCTCCATCTCTCTCCACTCTTTTTCACCAGGCCAGTCTGTACGTCTGTCTCCCAGTCTGTGTCCCCACCTGCATTTCTGCTGTCCATCCCTGCCCATATCTCTGTCCATTTCCCTGTCCTGTGATGAAGTTAGGTTTGGAGAAGTTTGATTTTAAGTAACTATTTTGTCAGTTATTTGAATATAATCTGAGCAATAATGACAGGTAGCTTGCCTCCTAAGGTAGATTTTTTTTATTTCTGATATTTTCTGTTTCCATTTGTTTGCTCCTTTATCAACTTTTGATCTGTGTTTGTAGTGAGAGGCTAGGTCGTTGTCACATGGCTGATACTTGTAGGTGACTGTTGACACGTGACCTGTTACATTACTTCCTCTCTACCAAGAAGTGGGGGTTGCTTTTCATTACCTCGTTTTGTTTATGTTTTTTTTTGGTTCATCATTTCTTTCTTACATATATTTTCTCTATTTCCCTGATGATTTTTGTATGTTGTTGTTGTTGTCAGTCTCCACGGTAACTGCTCGCGTGTCCTCACGCCGTTTCCCTGGCAACGGTAAGTTGTGTACACATGGCATCATCTTTGAATGACCCCTCCCCCCCACCCCATCCATCAAAAAAAATCTATAAAAAGCACCCAACACCCAAATGACGGCCCTCTTTACTGATAGGAGCCTGATTGATTGACAGAAGCTGATTGGCTAATCTTGTGATTGATTGGGGAGGTGGTGAATGAAACGATTACGAGGTTAGCCATTGATCGCATGGCATTATAAAGGCCACTTGTATAACTGAATGTACTGCATCTATCTGCAAGTGCAACAACTATGACTACCACTTCTTATGCATTCATTCCAATCACCTCTAACTGCATTCAGCATTTAATTCCAGAGCTGTATCCTGCATGGTTTACTCTCTTTCTCGTCATCTGTATGACGCCATATAGTACTATGTCATCTCTCTGTGTCATGTGTCAGCCAATAGCTGCATTTCTGCACCTTAGTGGGACAGCATGCTGAAGCATGAGTGCTATGTTAGCTTTACTCGAGAGAGGATACTAGTTGTCTGTATATCATGGTGTACTGTAGTACTTGATAATCACTTTCTGTACCACTTTGTAGACCGCAGACAGTTGTAGAGGTTTGGCTGTTAAGACTTAAAATTCAAATTCAAGATATATATATATACCTAGATTAATATATTGCACCCCATATAAGATGCTTACCTTAAGCCAATCTTCTTTTCATTAGTAATATGTACATTTAAGCATTTCAGTCCTTTGTAATAAAGGAAAAAAGCTGCTATAAATTAATTTGAAGACCCCATCAAAGCAAACATAAATGCAACTGATTAAGACACGGCAGATTTGTTCCGATTCTTTTAAAGAGGTGGCCTTGTTTTACTTTTCGATCAGTTTGGTTCTGGATGGTGTGTGTTGGTGGTTCTGTGGTTCGAGGTCTCTGGTGTGCAACACTGATCTGGAATACCTGGCAGTGTTTCACAACCATGGTTTGATTTGATTTTTTTTTTGAGGAATGATATTTGCATCCCCCATTCTCTCTGTCTTTATTTAGTCTTCTCTCTCTTTGTTCTTGCTCCATTTATCATTTCTCCATTGTTGCTCCTGTACAGTTAGATCCAATGTAGGCAAACGGTCGGATGTACTTTTGTATGTGTGTATCGCATCCTGTTGTTTCTGTTTGTTCATTAGAAGAATTGCACATTTGGATGGATTGTTCACTCTCTCTCTTCTCCACATCATGTATGTGTTTTTCTGTGTCTTTTCATGTGGACTGGCTCCTTCTCCTGCATCCCTCTATATTTCTCTGTCGTTCTCTCCCTCCCCTCCTTTTTCTGTATGATGTGTATTGGACTGGGAGGGCTGCCAACCTTTTTTCGATTGGTCTCTTGCTGCATCTGATGCTTGCTGATTGGCTAGTTTTTGCGCACCTCTGGTGATGTGATGCGCTCTTGATTGGCTGTGTGTAATTTGTGTATGAACTCTTTGATTGATGTTTTTTGCATTGTGTTCAACTGATGAATCTGCAGCTTAATTCACCTTCTTTTCCCTCCTTTTTTAAAGGTAGCGATACAATGTTCTTGGATTTCTTTTTGAATGCTTTTGTTATGAAATATTTTATTATTTTATTTGTTCTGTGTGCCAATGGTTGCATTGTTTGTGTGCAAAACTGCCTGACTTACTCACCAGGATCCTTGTTTTCAATGTCTTTCTCCTTTTTAAAAGAAGTGCATGCATCAAATACCATCGCTGCTCATCAACAGAATTAACCTCTGTCATAAGTAAACAAAATCAAGTATAATTACACCTCACATCTAAAGCACCATATGAAGACGCTGATCATCATGTGCCGAGTATCTCCCTCATATCTCACAGAATACATTCAGTTAAAGGAAATGTAAACTATATTGTGATTGGATTCTACATCCCTTTGACAAAAATTCCTCAGTGCTTGTTTATCCGCTATATTGGGTTGAATAAGTTCCTGACCTTTTTTTTCTGGTGTCCAGGTGAATAATGCCACAGCCAGAGTGATGACAAACAAGAAGATGGTGACCCCGTACTCTAACGGAGAGGGCCTCGCTACTCTGCCATACGGTAATGCAATCCTTACAATCTGTTTTGATAAACTGTGACAGTGTTTGATAATATGGCAGTCATTATGAGTTTCGAGAGTAATCCATTATATCCCATATCATTTTTATGAAGTTTCACAATAGAACTGTGTAGAAATACAACAACATTTCTATGAAAAGAACAATTATAATGAAACTTGATTTTGATATAATAATAATAATAATAATACAAGAAATTCAGTGCTTTACAGTAAGTAAAAATAAACATAGATTAAACTAAAAGAAGGGGTTACAATGCCATTATTAATGTAAAATGAAATGATAAAATCCACTTAATAATGGCAATACAAATTAAGTAATTAAATATACAATACATTCCTATGTTTGTATTATTTATATGTACATGCAGCAGCATCAAAAGGCCTCGGTTTTCTTATTCTCTGATATTAATTTTGTCTAAATGACTGTTTTTTATAATATTAACTTGTCCTTGTGGTGACAGATGGGCTCTGTGCAGACAGACCGTCAGGAAGTTTAAAATATTCCCTCTAAACTGTCTTTGTTTCACTATAGCAGGGTGGAAGTTGAGTCCTATGGTTGGAGCCATGTACAGCCCTGAACTCTATACAGGTAAGACAAAAAGGATAATTAAACGAGTCTGATGGAGAAAAAGACGCACACTTTAAATTAAATTAAAATCTTAAAGGGACCTAAGACGCTTTTCTTTCACCCTCTCTCCATCTCAGTACCAGGGTTCCCATACCCAGCAGCAGCAGCCGCAGCAGCTGCCTCTACCGCAGCGACCTTCCGAGGCGCTCACCTGCGCGGCCGCGCGCGGCCCGTTTACAGTGCGGTCCGGGCGGCTGTGCCTCAGCCCGCCATCCCCACCTACCCTGGGTAAACACACACACACACACACACAAATAACATTGATAACTAAACCAGCAAACTATTATTGATAATAAAAGCTAGACATGTTGTTATGCATATCACCCTCTTCTTAAATGCATGTCTTTAATTGGTAGAAAATAATACGTCATAATTGTGCATGCTGTGTGATTGAATACATTTTTAATGGAATATTGACATTGTAATTTGCTGAGCTGAAATACCATTTCCTTGTACCGCAGAGGTGATAATGATATGATACTTTAGTGATCGAATAGAGTAGTATTTATCTTTTAATAGACATTTGTCTCACAGTAGTATCACTCTAATGTTTGTGCATATGTATACAAAGAGGTGGTATTTTGTCTTGCATGTTGCACGGTGTGTAATAATATCACCCTTCTTTCTTTTCTCTCTTTCACAATCTGTTGTGCCCCGCTTTCTCACCTTTCTCTCCTAAATCGTCACTCTGTCATTTTCTACAATGCCCACATGGTGGCGCATCGCACCATCTTTTTGTTTGGACTTTCCACCACCGCTCCTCTCTTCCTTCCCTCCTTCCTATGTCGTCTCTCTCTCAGTGTGATGGCCTATCAGGATGGCTTTTACGGTGCAGCTGATCTCTATGTAAGTATGCCTCTCTCTCCTCTACTGCTCACTCCTCATCTACGATTTCCCCCTCTTGCCTGTGGGTTTTCAAGTGTGAAACGACACAGACCAAACCCATAGAGACGTGTACTTCTGGGTGTTTTGTTTCATCACAGCTAGAGACATTTTTTTCCCCCTGATTTAATCTTGGATAACAAATAAATTACACTCATCACTTTAGTTTCCATGAACCATCTCATATATCTTTTAAACAATGCATACATATATATTAGTCGCAGTACATTCAGGAGTAGAAGCCTCTAGGGTTTGTCTCTGTGCATTTTGGAGTTTAGTTTGTACCAATGTGATTATGAGTGTGTGTATGTGTGTGCGTGTGTGACCAGGTTGACAATAGCTGTTTCTGTTCTCTCTGTAGACTAGTGTTTCAGGACATTAGTGGCAGATTGCCCCAGGTAGGGTTGACACACTCTGTGTGAGAGCCAGTGTGCATCCTCCTCGTCTCCAATGACTGCGTGCTGCTAGACATAATTGACCATCTGAGATTGAAATGCCTTCTCTGTCTTCTTCTACTAACTCACTGGATTCTGACATGGGTGGAGTTGCGGAAGGGGGAGAAAATAATTATGTTGAAATCTGAATTACGGAATAATTACACCACATAAAACCTCCATTCACAAATAATCTACAGGAGAGAGGTACATTATGGGTAACTTAGGTGCAGTATATATGGTTGATACTTTTACCTATTACAAAGGGCAATAAATGCAGCTAACAATGTACATATTGTTCCCGAACTTAACATTTAGCTCAGTGTGAAAACAAATGCATTTTGTCTTGTTTTGGTGACTTCACACCAAAATTCATCTTTGAATTTATACTTTTGATAATGTTCTTATGGCAATACATATTTAAACTGATTTTATGAAATTATTTGACATTTTCATCACACACTTGTATTCCAAAATGTGAAAATAATTGAGGGTTAAAAAATACTGACAACACATTTTCACGTTTTGGTGTTTTAAATTAAATGTAATTTAGAAATATATATTGTACACAAACCTCAGTTAGTAATCTGCATTTCCATATATTAATACAAACAGGACTTGTACTAAACAATACATGAATAATAAAATTAAACGGGAGGACAGTTTCTATCAGCAGATAATTCAGACCCCTTCCAGGAATCTCCCTATCTGTTTCACCTGTGGCATGCTAACTGAATCAATGTTGGCATGCAGACATATTTACAAGGCTGACCCCTCCCCCTGCCAACCCCCCCCCCCCCCCATTTTCCTCCCCGCTTTCCTTTAAACTATCTCTATCTGTTACGCTTTATTTCACTTCTCTTCACTTTCTTCATTCTCTCAGATAATCATTTAAACCTTTCTGTTATTATTCTCTTTTCTTGACTCCTCTTCCTCACCCCCCCTCTCTCTTTTCATCCCTCTGTACTATTCATGTCAATTCCTTCTCCCCTTCCCCTTCCCCTCCCCCCCAGTCCAGCTTCCCTCCCATAGCAGCAGCTGTGTGGTCCTGAATGCGGGACTTGGTCTTGATTGATCCTCTAGGGTAGAATGCAGCAGTGTTTGTTTGTTTTTTAGGGATGTTTGGCCTAATATGCTCTACGTTCTGAGTTTGGGAAAGCATGCTCTGTCTGTCAGTGATTGGTCGCTGGCCCTGTGAGCGTGAGCGTATGTGTGTGTGTTTTTAATCTGACTGGCTGACTGTCTTCTTACACCTGTAGTTTATTTTGTGTCTGTTCATCAGCTGTTCATCCTCAACATAAATAATGACACAATCATCTTGCCACCCCTTCCCCTTTCTTTAACTGTGTTTTTGGTAGGGGAACCGGGGTGGGGCACAGTAATGGGTATGAACTCTCTCTCCCTCCATGTCCAACGCATAGTGGGAAAGATAAAAGCACTTTAATAATACACTGGGGAACGCTACAAACAGTAAGGCACATAATGTACAATTACAGATGTTGTTTTTGAGTTAGTCATGGAGGGAGAGACCGACACAGAGCCTGAGCTACATCCTTGTGAATGCTGTACTGCACCAGATTAGCCAGTTTTGCTGACTGTCTGCTTGTTAATCTTTCGCTCTCTTCTCAGCAGTTTTTCTCACAATGTAACCCTTTAGATGAACTAATAGTATTAGTGTGTAGAGAAAACAGCAAACTTTTAACAATAATTTATTCTTGTTTCTGTTCCGTCCCACCTCTCCCTTCATCGTTTCCTCTTGTCACAAACACACTACCCCCTTCCCTCTCTATCCTCTCCATCGCCTCATCACAGGGGGGCTATGCTGCGTATCGTTATGCCCAGCCGACTGCGGTAGCAAATCCGGCAGCAGCAGCGGCGGCTGCAGCAGCAGCTTACAGTGACAGGTGAGTGGACAAAGAGACCTCAGATTATGCTCTTTTTCAGCAACTTCCTCTACCACTAAGGAGACACACTATCTAAGAAAGACACACACAAAAATCGAAGTGTAGTAGCATTTCCAAAATGAGGTTACATATCATTTAGCGAAATGTCCTTTATTTTTCCTAAAAAATATTATGAGATAACTCATGTGTTACGCTTTTGTCTATTTTCAATAGCTACGGACGAGTTTACACAGCAGACCCTTACCATGCTGCGCTCAACCCAGCGGCCTATGGCGTGGGAGCAATGGTAAGTTCCCTCAGCCCATATCAGGTAAACAAATTAAAGAATAAGGCAAAGAATATATTATATTTTTGTCATTGTCAACAACTGTCATGAAAGAGCAAAACCAGCAATGTGTTTGTCTACTTACATTAGCATTTATGTAGGATTGAAATTAACCTACAGTAATGTGGCTCACTGATTTATTTATTTTACAATAATGGAGGTCTGTGAAACAGAGGGAAGAGATATAACATGGTTTTGACTTCACAGAAAATACTTGTTAGACCAATACATTCACAGTTGTTTCTAGGTTCTTTTCTTTTGTTTATTTACAATAAGAAAAATATAGATCACCAGAATGATGATTTAATGTGTAAAGTGATTGTGACCATTTGACTAAGTGTTTGTCTTTTGTCGTTTCATAGGCCGCGCTGTACAGGGGAGGATACAGTAGATTTGCCCCTTACTAAAGACACTACATTTCCCAGGAGCTCCTCTCTTCCATTGATTTTCTCTGAAAGAGCTCCCTCTGTTGTCGTGGAGATGGACTGCACCCAGTTTTAAAGTGTGGTGTCGACCACAAGATATTTCAGATCCCACCCCAGAGCAGTCCCAAGTTTTCTTATATACGCTACTACAGAAATAGAGGAATGCTGTATTAAAGACTGATGGATGGCCTTTATATTTAAAAAAAAAAAAGAAGAAAAAAAGACAATAAATGGTCACCTTCCCTATTGCACGGCTGTATTATAGTCTCCCCTTCTTAATCCCTTGGCACTCAGCAGCACAAGACTCGTGATGGAGCCCAGATGTTCTTCCAAAGGCTGAAGGTGGATAACTAAACAGCTGACAACCAAGTATGAAAAAGAGCTGAGTGATGTGTGGCCTGCACACACTCAACATTAAAGGAGAAAGAGAGGGAATCAAAGTGTCCATGAAATGTCAGAGCGTTAGAAAGCAGGAAGTTGCCTCAAAAGAGCACCGAAAAAAAACATTTTCAAACCGAAAGAAGAGTCACTAAAATGATAAAAACACCCACTGATGGATTTTTATAATTCCTCCTTAAGGTGGGCGGATAGTAGTGAGAGAGGATTTCCATTCTCGCTGTGTTCTGGTAGAGGAGACTGAACATGGCGGCTTGGAGGAATGATGTGTGACGGTTAATAACGCTACAGAAATCACGTCCGAAGGGTGAAGGGGGAGGGAGGGTTATTAGAGCTGTTCCTTACCTCAAGTTTTCTTAGTATGTGGAAATGGTGAACCTTTAAACTTAAAATTGTTATGATATGCAAAGAAATTAGTTTAGAGAAAAAAGTTACCAAATTATTATTATTGTAATTATTCTCATTATTATTCTTATAAAACCATTATTTTTGTTTGACTCAGCACACCCTACTGATGTAGAACATGTAGATTCAACAGTGAACCTTGGGGTTAAAACTGAAAATAAACATCAATATAACAAATATTTCACCTTTCTGACTATTTCACACAAATATAGTCTCACATCATATTTTCCAATCACAGGATTTCACTACACTCTGGCCGTTTCTCAATCGCGAGGATGCTGGCTTGGTAGTCGCGTACTTCCAAGTCACTTCCTTCAGAAACGAAGCAAGTATACTTCCAAGCCACGGCTACGAAAAACGAAGAACAATGGAACAGGCTAACAAGTGTGCCACTCTCTCTAACGGTTTCAACATAAACTGTACCAAAAATAAATACCTCACGATGTCTATCTAATTATGAACTTGCTTTACTTTCACGGAACACATTTTTCGTGATAACAAACAAATGTAACAAAGCAACATATTTACCAACACATGTTCTACGCCACTACATACTTACATTTAAGTGTGTGCTGCGTCGGTTCAGCCATTCTCCGCAAGGGTTTTTGAAATTGGTCCGTGCGCAAAGCATTGTGGGGATTTTAAGGACGAGTGTGCAGCCTCGAAATTTCCCCCAAACCAAGGACGCGGCCTCGGTGGAATTCCAAGTATGCTGGAGATTGGAACAGTCCTTCGGCGGCACTCGATGACGTAGCATCCTTGAAATATTGGCTTGGAAGCCAAAATCCTCGCGATTGAGAAACGGCCTCTGTGTGCAGCCACCACTAAAACACTACAAAAAGTGCAACCCTAAAGCATCGTCGTATTTAATTGATTTTTAGCTTTGGATCCAACAAAACCATCTACCCACAACCCTGAGGTTCAAGCATTTGTTGATCCTTTAATGTAGAGATTTATTATTTGGATTTTCCCCTCATGCTCCATCTTTTATAGAGCCAAGTCCAACATTGAATGAGTCTTCCTGAAACATACTTTAGTAGGTAAATGTGTTCGAGATGCTGCCAGCAGCGATTACTGAGCAAGAGAGAGATTGTGTCGGTGAGTTCATAGAAAATATTTAAATGCAAAACACCTTACTATTGTGCATATTTCTATACCGTTGTATTCTATATTTCCAGAGCGTGGCTCTTTTTTGGCTTTTGTTTTTGTTCCAAAGATTTGTAGAAAGCACATTTTTCTGCCGTATGTATAAATATATTATCTTTGTTATTGTTATTATCCTAATCCTATGGCTGTCTTTATTTACTTCTTTTTCATATTCTGTTTGTCTTTTCTTTTTTTATATATATATATATATATCAGTAAATGTTGTTCCTTCTCCAATAAGGCGCAAGTTCAATTTCAAGTTTTATTTTTTTCTTCTTCTTTGTAGTGAACATCTTGAGCTGGGAGCACCTAGGAAGGCACAAACTAAAGTGTGCATGTAACACTATCAAACTATTGTCCTCTGGTTAAATATCAAGTCAATCCACACTACGTTTTGTTTTGTTTGGGTTGATTATAGGATCCGTTAGCGTGACATTTAATTATATTTCAAAACATATTTAGCAGGAGACCGAGACATTTGGAATGAATAGCCAGCAAACCAGCTGTGCTCCTTTCTGTTTGAGTTTTACATTTATTTAATAGTTGTTGTTTTGAGCAGACTCCTTACATTTCAGTGGTTTAATCTGTCAGCCTGACCTGTATGGTCTCTCCAGATTTTTTAAAGATATCCAGTCAAATGTGTTAACCGCTTTCATTAGCAGGTAATATTCCAACATGGTGAAAAACGAAATGTCATTGTGGGATATGATCTAAATTGTGTGTAAAATGGGGCTGTTATGTCTTTTTTTTCCCTATTAACTCATTTCAAAGCTACCGTTGTTTTTAATTTCTCACGTTTGGAAAAACAGGTCAATACGATGTTCTATTAAGTGTGCTGCTGTTGGATTTCATCATGACATTTAACATTTTTGTTGTAATATTTCCAAATTATTACGAATGTGCTCTGGGCAACAACAAAAAAAGAAAAGGAAACCTAGCCAAAGATGCTAACCTTCAGTCCCCAACACGTTTTCAACTCAAGGCGTGCTACACAAAATACACAAAGACGGACTTACTGAAGCCCTGACGGCATGGACAAACCAGCATGAGCGATACTTGTCAAGTTTAAAAAAAGTTTTGCATGAATCTTGTGTCTTTAATATTTGACTCCTGAGCAGCCGAACCCAGTTGCGTTCTTCTTTACCACTAAACTCTCCGGAGAATGACAGGCAGCTAGCCGTTTTTAAGCTAGCTAACACAAAGAGCACAGTGCGGTTTGGCAGAAAGGCCTACTGACAAACAAAATGGCTGCCACATAAAGTGGCATCTTCATTTTCCTGTCGCGGTTTTCTTGCCTCTGTATTATAGTTAACTATGTGGCCATACTTCATAGTTGCTATGGTTTCTCAATGAACAGTCCTCTCCCCCTCCTGTCATGTCTATATCCCCCTTGACTGCCATTATGTTTTTTGTTATTGAATGTCCATATAAAATGTTTTATATAAAAATGTTTTGTTGTGATCAGGCTTTAAGTTTGCTTTCTTTTGGTATTCTATTGTTTTAGTAAGATGGATGAGTGTCATTCTGTAGGTTATGTTATTGTACACACAAGCTAGGGCTTATGATCTATTAAAAATTGTATTGATCCCCAAGTCAGTAACATTAAAACCTCCAGCAGAATTGTTTGACAGCCCTTAAAGGGGCCCTATAATGCTGATTTTCAGGTTTCATATTTTCAATTGTTGCCTCTACTGGGACATTTACACGTTATTTAATGTTCAAGAAATGGCTTATTTTCCTCATCTCTTTTCACCCTCTGTTGGAAACCAGAGCCCGGTCTGTTCTGATTGGTTAGCTTGCCTGCTCTGTTGTAATTGGTCAATTGCTTAAAGATATCCCTCCCCTAATCCTATAACATATAATAATACAATGTGTTGGGGCTCTAGCAAATAGAAGTGCCAGTGTTACATTTTGATGTCACTATGTTACGGAAGTAAACAAAGGAGTCCAATCGAGGCCTTTCGGGGTGTTTGGGAGAGTAATTCCCTCTAACCCATTAAGTTCTGTCTACTTAAAGAAGACAACATTTATTTGGGGAAAACATTTATTCACATTCTAATACTTTGTACACACATACATTCATGGTTCATAAAAATAGAAATATATATATAATAAATAGCTGTACATTAAAAAGTAATAGCTCCAAAGAGGAGAAGGGAAGTGGAGTAGAAAAGGCAGGAGAGAGTAGTGAAGGTTCAGTGGTGATAAACTGCAAAACAGTGATCGAACCATGCTTACAACAGATTCAGTCCATTGTCTCTCAGAAATTCACAAGCCAAGTACAAAGTACCGGGGGAGGAAGTTTGATGTATTGCTCATAGATTTGACCCCTCAGTGAAGCATGTATAAATAATCAAGTATATTATATAATTATTATTTGCCAATTTCAGATCAGCTTTATTTAGATATATTTGTGCAAAGTTTCGAAAAACAAGGTTTCTAGACGATTCCATATTTGGCCAAGTCGCTGAGCTCCATGTCCCCGAAGGCTTCCCATGGGCAGACCACGGTGATGTCTGTGCCCAGACCCTCCATGCCGGGGATTTCGTCTCCGAATCTAAAAAAGGAACAAAAGTGAGTCCTAATTTTCCTTGGAATGTTTTACTTGAGATTTTCTTTGACTTTAATCTGTAGCAGACATTCAGATCCTTCACAATCACTGGCTTCATTTAATAAGATTTCTGTTATTCTTTTAAGAGAAATCTTAAAAAAAGAATCTTAAGAAAAGTACTTTGTAGCTTTAGTTGTCAGTGTTGTGAAGTTAACAGTACACCATTTCAGTGCAACGTTTTAGTGGAGTAGTTTGAAGTAGCAGAAAATGGAAGTGCTTCAAGTAAACATTTAAGCACAGTACTTTAGTAAATGTCTTTCTGCCCCTCTTTAAATTCTCTCTTACCCCTTCTGGCCGGGTTTAGGGGCTTTGCTCTTGAAGGTACGAGTGGTCCTCTGCTTGAACTTGGGAGGGGCCTTCTTGTCGGCGGGAACTGCAACGCCTGCGTCGGCCATCTTTTAAGCACTGAGAGAAAAACAGAGTTTGTTTTAGTCTTCATGTGTAAGACCTTTCCTCAACATCTTACCTCTAAGCTCTACTGTTCTATGTTTGGACAATATTACAACTCCATGTGAGGCCACTATAAAGCTCCTCAGACCCTGTTATAGCTTTGTCTATTTTTACACCTTGGCTTTAAAGATTACTCATGGCCAAGAGACCAGAATATCACAAAGTTCATGTAATACTTTAGCTACTCTAGGGTCAGCACACATACTGTGCCATATCTTTCACATAATAAACCCTGAGTCTAATGAAATTCTTTTTTTCAATCTCTTCTAATCTTTGCCCTCAGGTAAAAGTCTTATTTTACAGTAAAGCTCATAAGTGCTGTAGACTTGTTGGGAATGTACTTTGACCTCTATGATGATACTTTGAACACGCAAACAAAACTGGTTGCTTTATTAACCAATAAGTTCCTAAACTTTACTAGTTTGAATTTCTTCCTAATTGTAAGTTCTATCCTGATTTTATTCAGCCACAATGTACAATGTAAACAGGTTTTGGGTGCTGTATGAAAAAAACAATTGACACTTCCGTGAGGTAAAAAAAAAAAGCAGTAAAGTGATTAATACATTGTTTTTAAAATTGGGGTTCAGGTTCTTTAGCAAAACCATTTCAACATGTTGACTGGAGGAGCTGGGGCTTGAACATGAGACCCTAAAGTCTGTAGATAACCACTCTACCTTCTGAGCAACAGCTGCCCTTTATTTAAATAATACTTCAAAACACTATTAAGATTGGCTTACATAAAGTAGAAAAGATGGATGAGAAAAGTATATAAAACAAAAGGATGCATATTACACAGAACACACAATATTAACTTACAAGGTGAAGGAAAAGCCAAAGAAAACAATCAGCTTCTTCCTGATTTAGCTTAGACTTCAGATACATTTTTTCAAAATTGTTCAAGAACAGCACATCTCAAGCCAAGCTCTTTTCGTCTCCAAACATCATTCAGGTTTCTACAATTAAAAGGTCACATCAATTACATGTGTTCTTCTCCACAGTATCTATCAGAAGCCATGCTTTATATAACCACTCTTATTTATTCTCTATATTTAATCCTTTCCAAATTGTTAAAATATCAAAAGCTGAATTTCTTCTCACCTGTTATTTGCTGTGGGCTTCTTGCTGTCTCTCTGATTAGTTTGTGTGTTTCCAGTCTTTGCTGTTCAGTCTGCTTATATACTCACTCTTACTAATCCCCCTGAAATGCTCTTCCATAATTTATGACCTCTCTGCTATGAGGTTAAGGAGGAGCTCAAAAAGCGTATGTTGTGCCATGTGAAGACGTATGTAACATTACATAATGCAGAAGGTCTCCACTGGATTGTACTGAAGGCTATAGTTATTTTGGCAGCTCAATGTCAATAGTATGTTCTATACGTGAGCATTTAAAAAATAAATAAATATATTACAATGGTAAATCATATAATCACAACAAATACCTTTAGTTAGTTGTTAATCAAGTCTGTTAAGCTCATTCTTCACCTTATTGACAATTTGACGGTTAAATATAAGTTTAAGGTCCATTAAGAGCTTTTACCCACAAGACAACAGTCTTAACCAGCTAATGAGATGAAATTGTATTTTAAATTGAGATTTTTTTTGTCAAATCACATCATTTTCTGAGATTTAGGTTCAAATGTGATTGTAGTTAAACACTCGAGTGTAGCATTAGTGTTTCTTTCCCCTCATACATTTCTTTTTATGCCACAATGATAAATGAATCAGTGAAGTTGGCAGATGCTGTCCCTCTTTAACCTGTGTCCATGAGGCTAGGGATTTGAGCTGATTAAGTGGTTAAGTGGTCTTTATTTGAATCCATGATCTCCCCGCACTTTCCAGATCCTCCTGCAAGTCGGCATGTCAGGACGTGTTTGTTTACAAGTAAAGTGAAAGTGTTGCCAAGTATTTTTTTATAGTTACTGATGTATCTTAAATGTGGTGTCAATATGACTAGGAGTCTCAAGTCTCTACGTGGCAGTAAATAAACTGCAAAAAAACTGACATCTAAATATTATCATTGATGCAAATAGTGTGTGAAATACTGATGTATGTGGGACCGATAGAAAATACATTTCTTAATAATGACTATGATGATTCTGATAATGTTTTGGCTTTTACTTTATTATCATTCTAATTACGTGTCAATAAATGACACGGCCATCATTTCCAGTGACTTCTTGACAGATATATATAGTCTCGCTTGAAATAAGTGTATACAGACCTGGCAACCTTAGCTCCTCTATTCTTGTCTGAGCTGGAACAGGAGTGGACAGAGCAGAGTTGGCAAATCAAACAATGCCAGAACATTTGAGTGGATTAGCAGATCAGAGGACTTTAAAAGGCGAAAGTCAGACAGAGACACATGCAGAGAGAGGAATACCATACGCTCATCTGAATACACTTTGAGACTTCGACAGAAGGTAAGATGAAACTGCAGTTTTTTCTCCGCTGTGGTACAGAGAGGCTGTTTCTGCTGGAAGAGAAAGATGGACAGAGTGATGGATTTTATGATTTTTTTCTGGAGTGTCATTGATAAAAGATCTGAAATGAGATCTGAGATACTGAGGAGACTTCAGGAGTATTTATTTGTGCTGGGCTTCTTGTTGATACTATTGAAGCCTTAGTTTCTCTTTATGCCTCTTTTACTTAATACATCTGATAAACACAGAGGAGTTTTGAAAACGAAATGTATTTATGCTTCTATATATATGGATGTTGACAAGCTTTTGCTTTCAATTTGTGTGTATTGACACCTATATAGAGGAGATCACTGGTTAATGGTTGCAGAGTAATTTTTAGAGGCAATGCACATCAAATTGCATTCAAAGTTATGTTATGTAGCGAGAGACTTAAAGGTCCCATGTCATGGCCATTTCTACTGATCATAATTCCATTGTTGAGGTATACTAAAATAAATGTATAATGTGCAATTTTCCAAACTCACATTGGTTTCTCATACAGCATCTCTGTATAGTATGTGCATAGGCGGCGCGTGAGGCTCAGGTATGGGAAGGCTAAATAACTTTTTTTACCTGACGCCGAAAAGAGAAACCCAGTGAAAGCACCGCCTTCTGACCAATCAGAGCTCAGTGTGCGGAGTTTAAATCTATCAAGTCATATTACAGGATAATGGAAATAGTTTAAACTGCCGTATGCAGAGAAGGCGCAGACGTGTCGCACTTATCATCATATCACATCATCAATCAGATCATCGATCATATAATATCATAATATATCATATTATCTGAGTCAACTTCTCGAGCCATATCTGGCCGTGCAACACTCACAGTGTCACATACTGTATGCAGAAGTATTATTTTAAGCAACACATTAAGTTGACGAAACACTTGAGTCAAATGTAATTAAAGTCAGATCCACTCGTGTCTTAGATGGGGCACTGATATCATAACTGTTGTACGCTTTCAAACACTCGGTAGTTATTTTGTAACCAGTTGTTCTATATTCACATTGCAGGTGCAACTATGTGGCTTGTATCCTGGATTATATGTGTAAATCATGGATGTTTAAAGTTCATATTTGTCTAATATTAGTTTACTTTTCATTAATGAAGTATGACGCTGCGCTGTCAGTACACTTGTCGCTGTTTGTGATTGGTCAAATGTAGCTAACCCCGCCCCTTTCACGTGAACGCGCTCTCAGCTGGAGAGAGAAACCCTGGCTTGATTTACCGAGTTGATAACCAGCGTCGTATGACCGCTTAGCGAGATCTCGTTTGTTAGGGTTAGTGAAGATAACTCAAACATATCCAGGGTCTGTTGAACTGGCTTCGTAGTACAGGGCACAGGTGGCTGCATAGCAGCGCTATTGTCAAAGACACAAAGATTATACATTATATTTTTATTTTACCAGGATGCAGTGACACAAATATTTGGGAAGGCTTAGCCTTCCCTAGCCTACAGTAGGCTACCCGCCGCCCCTGAGTATGTGTATTCACTCTCTGTCCTAAACGGCTTGTTGGAGCTCCTGCCCCTCCCCCCCCTCCCTGTGAGCCCAGTGGCCGTCTGCGAGACACAGCGAAACCCAGCGCGAAACACACACACACCCGCAGCCTGGCTGGGAGTTTGTGTGTGTGCCCAGGCTGAGTGCTATGGCGTTATATGTGTGCCTCTATCCTGAGCACGCAATGAAACATGTTGTGCATAGAAAATGCGATTGAGCGCGCACTTGAACATTTTTGAGCACAGAGAAATATATTTTCTCTCATAAAACTCCTGCTCCGTGCGCAAGCAGACCGCTGCACGCGCTCTCTCTCCCCCGCTCGCTCGACCTCTCCAGCCTGTGCGCGCTCAGCTTTGCCTGCGTTCGCTCAAGTTGTCACAGCGTTACAAATGTGCCACAAAACCAACCAATCGGAGAACTCGAGAAGGTCAATTCTGATTGGCTGGTCCAGCGCCATGTAGAGAGAAGAGTTGCGACAGCGGATGTCCAAAATGCTTGATCGTCCCGTGCATAGATATATATAAACACTAGATGACTCACCCGCGCTGCTGGCCAATGGAGACCGACGTTGCCACTTGGCCGCCATCTTGCTACAGGGAGTTCTCTCATTCATAACATTATGGTTTACTATTTAAATAACCATAGCTTGCTCAATTTTCAACCAATTTTCAAACGGTTTGGTTTTTTATAAACATCAAAGATGTAGTTATGATACTGCATACTTATAATCATGGACTTTCATATGAAAATAACATTAATCAGATAAAGCAATAGCTATACACACACACACACAAGGTATTTATATTAAATATTTGCCGGTGTATATATTTCCATTTATTTTATTATATTGTTAATATTTAAAATAAATTATAAAATTAAAATACATTTATATTTTATATATAAAAATCGGTCTCATGTTACCACTCTGTAAGCCAAGAGTTGTTAATTTAGCAATGCCTTAGCTTTAAGAACAGGGACACAACTAATGACAATAGCATATGTTGGTATATTATTTAGATATTCACACCTTTATCAGAAGAACCAAACCAACATAAAATGTGCTCACAGATAGGCCAGTTCTGTCTAATTTATCACAATTATTTTTGACATGAGATCTTCATATTACTATACTAGTTTTGTATTTAGTTTCTAGATTTGTAAACAAATCCAGAACCTTTGAAATATGTTATTGAAAAAAGACCAAGAATAATATAAACTGTACCATGTGTCCTTTTGTGTCCTTCTGTAGTCCATTTGTGGTTTGTCTTGTCTCACCCCGGCTGATATATCACAAAGTCCACTGTTTAAATTGTTCCCTATATTGCCCCTATGCCCCTGTAAGGTGTCCTTGGGTCCTTGGGAAAGGGGGCCTCCCAAAATAAATGTATTATTATTATTATTATTAAGAAGAACAACTTGGTGTGGTGTGGAGGGGATGTAGGAAGCAGGAGCAGGTGGGGAGAGATGGGGCTTCAAGGTTCAAGGTTATTTGTTTTAAATGTGTCTTGGAGATAAGGACCAGCTGCACACAATAAAATACAATATAACACAAAACCAATAAGACACACGGTGACACATGGCACACCAACAATCAATCATCGTCCAGCCTCAGCTTTGGTATTCTTTCACAACCATGTTATGGGTTTATTAGACTGAGCAAACATAAACATATGTGGGGAACATAGTGCTGCGTCTCATGGAACATGAAGATTTAATAAATACATAGTAGGTGGCGATATATGCTCCTAGTGGTAGTGATTCGCCATTAAACAAAGAAGAAGAAGAAACATCAGGGGGAAAGAGAGGGAGACACACAAGCACCCACTACGGCACGTAACACATGTTGTTACGTTCCCTCTTGGCGAGGGGTACAAAGGGAAACGACACGACCAGAGTAGAATTGGTATGTGTTACCAGCGGTTTATTTGTAACTGCAAGTAAGTAAAATGATATGCACAAAACAGCTTGGCCCAACAACGGGTCAAACTGTTACTATCTGACACAATGGGTCTCCAAAAGAGATTTGCCCAGTACTATACAAAAGGAAAGAAAATCTCACTTCTAGAGTGGAAACAAAACAATAAGCAAAAACGGGGCTGTGGGAGAACACAGCTGGTGCGGGTCTACAGGTGCTAATCACCTGGATCTACGCAATGTATATACAAGTACTGGTCTACAGGTGCTAATCACCTGGATCTAAGTACGATACACACAAATACTGGTCTACAGGTGCTAGTCACCTGGATCGAAGCAATATACACGGGAATGCTAAACACAAAGCTACTACAATACACTGCTACTCAGTGTAACTAACACAGAGCCCTACTAAACACACTGCTAGGCAGTCTAACGAATCACACAGTATTGCGGTAGTATAGCGAGAGGTTTGAGGCGTCTGTCCCATAGTACAGACCCTCCCGAATGATGTCCTTGCCCGGCCTTTGTACTCCTCCCCCGGGTGACGTGGCAGAAGCGGGCGGGGATTAGATGACGTCAGTCCAATCACCGCGGATGTTGCGCGGGCGGGACGGCCAATAACAGCTGATGAACTGCACAGCTCATTCACATAACACAGAGTTAACGGCACAAGGTAAACAGCGGCTGTAACACATGTGCACACACAGTTGGAGCTAATGCCCTTTGAAAAGGACTGTTTTTGTGAGCTTCTGTCTCATGCTGCCACTCTGTAAGCTCAGAGTAGTTATTTTTGCAATGTGATGCAGCCTTAGCTTAAAAAACAGGGACACAACTAATGTCAACAGCGTATGGTGGTGACTGTCAATGCCATACTGTGTGTCGACAATGTGCTCCCCGAGCAAAAACACATCCTCTGGACCTATCCTCTTCCGCACAATGTAGAGGACCTCTAGCAGTTTGATGGGCTGTGATCGTCTAGAATCTGCTGATGCCTGGCGAATTACCCACTCTGCTGCCCTGACAACACTCACTGTGCCTTCAGATGGAATCACCAGGCCCCCATTGTTTCTTAAAGTCAGCAGGTGGTAGCTCTTGTCCTTACTGGCTGATGCAGCGTCCGTCACCAGGCTGGCACGGCAGACATCACAGGACAGCTTCTTGAAAGTCCGTCGCACAACAAATCCTGAAATTAGAGGTAGACTGATTAATAATAATTAATAAGCATGGGGAAATTAGAATTTGACGGTCTGTGAATACTTCTTTTTTTGGACTATTGTCCGATTAATCGCCCATCGTTTTCACCGCAGATTTTCACTATTGGCACAATCGGTTATAAGCTAAATACATTATCAGTCGACCTCTACCTGAAATGTACACAAGAGCGTTGTCCACAAGACCATCAAAGCGGGTGGGAAGGTAGCTGTGGTCATGTACAAGGGCAGGAATGTCAGCAAACGGGGATGGAAGATCTTCTCCTTCTTCTGCAGAGGACATATCTACAGCTGACAGGTTTGTAGATATGTAGATGTGGTAGGACTGGGCAGCAGAGGACATTGCTACAGCTGGTAGGGACTCCGTGTCATCCTGTGCCGTCACATTACCTTTGCTGCATGGTTTAACAACCCCACACCGGGCCATCAGCTTCCGGAAGATGTATTTGAACTGGCTGGCAATTAGGGTTGTTATTCCAGCCACCTTAAAAAAACACAAGATATACAAGTATATTACACAGATATTCAATATATCTTTATGCTTAAAAATCAATAAGTGACAAATTAGAACCAGCAACGCCTGAATGATCTTTTTCCACATAAATTAAGTTGAATGACATTATCATACAGTTCAGACTGTATCACGGTGGTGACAAATTCTGCAAACGGATAGACAAACACACAGAAATGTTTCTTAATACTCAAAATGGTTTCTGTGACACTTCCAGATACTGTATATGTCTTCAGAACCGCATTTTTCCAAAAAAACAAACAAACATATGGACAGACAAACTGAAAAGAATACAAGCATTTGCTGTCAATTAGTGTTGCGGCTGGTAAATATGAACCCTACCGGATGCTCTGATGGAGTTAAAGAGAAGCTCCAAGTGGTCCTGACTGAACCTGTAGGTCAGGACATATCGCTGTCCTTCAAGCAGCACAGGAACCATCAACATCAACGTGTCGACATTGATGATGAAGCCCAGGATAGAGAGGAACCTTCAAAAGTAAATATTGTATTACTACGATGATCCCACCAAAACAGGAGACAAGAAAGCAGGGATGCAAACACATACGGTGCTGTAATACACAACACATTATTTATTCCTAAACTTGCAGAAAGAAAAACTAAAGTGTGACATTTAATCACATATTTATATATCAATCTTATACACCTTGAATTGTTGTTGGCCAATGATACACATACCCTTTGAAGATGAGCTGGGAAGTTGAATATTGTTGGCACAACACCATCTTTAAGCCGGACAGTCTGCCCTGTCTGGTCAAATTCCTCACTCCTGAAGTGCTCACTGCAGAGCAGTGTCCTGTCACAGGAAACAAAACCGTCCCTTCTTAGGGCGAGTTCCCACTGCCTCCTCCTCTCCTCGGTTTTGGGAAACCTTAAAAACATGAGAAAGGTAGCCAGACAGATAAATTATTGTCAACATTTTCCTCCCTTCTTTCCTTTAACATTAAGGGTAAGGACAAAAATACACACCGAAATTATCATATTTTTGGTATGTATGCATGTATATATAGCCTACTTTAAGAATAAGACAACCACACTAAGAGTAATAAAAAAGGTGTCCAAAAGAAACATTAAATAATTGTGTAAAGAAATGGTAACAACATATTCTAAAGAGGCTGGGTCAACAACAATCTTGCAATACTATTATCTCACATAGCCCCACTGATCCTGTGTAGCAGGACTTGTAATGTACATACATCCACTAAGTAATTAACGATTATCCTAATTTTAGTCATAATATTGTCATATCTTACACGTGAAAGGTGATTCCACGGGTTCTTGTTTGCAGACTGCGGTGATTAGAGCATCCGTAGGCTGCACAAAAGTCCGGCATAGTCAGGTACTTCTGTAAACACAAAGCCAGCAAATTCCTGTATCATAATGCAAGATGTTTTTAACAAGCCAAACCACTTGGAAGAAATCATGTGTAACTTAAGTTATGTTGAAAAGAAAGAGCAGTTCTGCCTCTCCCACTGGTGTAAAGTTGCTGGGTCAACTTTGTAATACTAGGTCTCACTCACAGCCTCTTGTTATTAGCCAGCTAATAAATACAACCACATACACAAAGAAAAGCTGCAATTTCAACATGTCCAAGCATCCTGTATCATAGCCATGCTAATAATGTTTATAATAAACCAAACCGTTTGTAAATCAGTCAAGATTTCAGCGAGTTAAGAGTATTTTTGTGCAGATCACTCACCTTACAACAGCTACCATAAGAAAGGACAGGAGACCCACAGGGGCCTATCAATGATTGTCAACTGACAGCACAATGAGTCAAAGGACTAGCAGCAGCAGCAGCATGATGATGATGTTACATGTGTTGTTTTAGGAACATCCATGTAAATAAATGGACTTCAATAAACATTGAATAGCATATCATGCCGTTTGTCTGTGCCTTTTCCTCCGTGTTGTCCTGGCATATCGTCTCCCCCATGGTTTGCTGTGCTGCCTGGGGATGCTCCAAGCGCTCAGAGAAAGGAGTACACATGTAAAGTTTCCCCACTGACACAGAGAGGAGGAAAGAATGGCTGGCTCAAGTCAGCAGGAGCAATTTAACTATCACAAAAGACAACAACAGCAACAACATATGTGAGGTAATCATATTTGTCACAAAACGAAGACCACACCATTGAGAAGCTTAATGTCTGTTTAATCAAAATAAAGAACAGGGAGAGGCTTGCAGAACTCTGGGAGTTGAGACTCAGGTGCAGGGTGAGGGTCTCATTGCAGGTCTTCAGGCTCCATTGAATCCCTGTGGGGTTCTTGTGCTGAAAGAGGGAGACAGGAGAAGGGTTAGATACATCTAGCAACCTATAGGATGGGAAATTGCTGACCTATTTTAAACTTACCTTGTGTTTTCACTCTCACTTAAGTCCCTCTCCCTTTGCCATCAATCCAAAATCAGCTGAGCTGCAACATAATACAGACAGGTAATAATCAACAGAATCACAAGGACATTATATGGCTCTGCTAAAAACACTCACCCATAAGTTACGTTTTTGTTTACTGTTTGGAAGTCTCAAATATGCACTCTAAATCCATATCAATAGTGATGTATCACACAAATAGCTCTCTTCCTTTTATTGTGTAACGTTCGTTAACTATATTATACTAGCTTGAACTCCAAAATGGATATCCTCATTTCACCACCTCCACCCACTACAATCACACGCCCCAATGTTATATTTAACTAATATGTAACTCCCTCCACCCCGGATAAAAGCACATTAAGAAGCCCCTTTTCTCTAATTCCACAACGTTGGAAGAAATAACATTAAGAGAACGGATTAATAGGCTGTTCATGGTTAACGTGTGATGCTAACTTTATCCGGTATCCTAGCCTCATCTGTCCGGTTGAAAATTAACGCAAGCTCTATGCCCATTGTAGAACAGGAAACAGAAGTTGGTCCAGGTTCTGGTCAACCCAAAATTGTGATAGAGAGAGAAACATGTTTTGTCATTCTGCCACCTCTAATGCTTACAGCAAGTAATCAATACCTCAGAAGGGTTCATGTACATGTAGGCTACGGTTTGTTAGCGGTTTGCTTAAACTACCCCTATAGCTATGTTGCCGGCTAGCAAACTCAGGCATTGCAAACAATAACGTGATATCAGAAAACTAGAAATGTATAACTCACCTGACACTGTGGCGTGCTATTCTCTTCATTCAAGTCTGTCATGTCCTGTAAATGTCAACGATAGATGTGTAATAAGAACATCAACAGCCTGATGGCAACCGAAAATCCCTCTCTCATCTCAGATAGAAGATATGATTGGAGACGACCAGCCAATCAGAATTGACCTTCTCGAGTTCTCCGATTGGTTGGTTTTGTGGCACATTTGTAACGCTGTGACAACTTGAGCGAGCACAGGCAAAACTGAGCGCGCACAGGCTGGAGAGGTCGAGCGAGTGGGGGAGAGAGTGCGTGTGCAGCGGTCTGCTTGTGCACGGAGCAGGAGTTTTATGAGAGAAAATATATTTCTCTGTGCTCAAAAATGTTCAAGTGCGCGCTCAATCGCATTTTCTATGCTCAACATGTTTCATTGCGTGCTCAGGATAGAGGCACAAATATAACGCCATAGAGTTCCGCGGTGTCTCGCTGTCTCGCCGACCCCACACCAGTGAGCCAGCTCACAGTGTCCCGCTCCTCGCAGCAGCGAACCTCGCAACGTTCCGCGTGAGTGTGTGTGTGTGTGTGTGTGTGTGTGTGTGTGTGTGTGTTGGTGTGTGTGTTGTGTGTGTGTGTGTGTGTGTGTGTGTGTGTGTGTGTGTGTGTGTGTGTGTGTGTGTGTGTGTGTGTGTGTGTGTGGTGTGTGTGTGTGTGTGTGTGTGTGAGTGAGTGAGTGAGTGAGTGAGAGAGAGAGAGAGGAAGTCCGCGGATTGGTCCAACGTTACGTCACTATAGTCGAAGTACGTCACTATACCCAATAAGTAAACAATGGAAAAAGAGAAATCCCCAACGAGGCATTCTGGGGCAGCATAGACAGGTATTTTCTGTGTTAGAGTTGTACTCGCTACAGGGTGTACTTTGAGGGTTTGTGACTCTGCAGACCGTTTACATGCAGAAAAAGCTACATAACACACAAGGGGACGGGTAATAACCAGAAAAGCATGACATGGGAGGGACCTTTAAATAACTTTGTGAAAAAGCAGTGTCAAACAAAAAAAAGTTTTATGGGTACTGAAAAGATCTCGTCTTTTTTCCCTACTTTTTCAGTGACTAACTAAAATGGCAGACGTAGCCGTTTCCAAGGCCGCCCCCAAATTCAAGCAGAGGGCCATGCGCACCTTCAAGAGCAAGGCACCCAAACCCGGCCAGAAGGGGTGAGATGGATTTAAGATCACACACATATAAACAGTCTCTTTCTTTATTTGCCATTTCAGATCTACTCTCAAGCAATAACAACTTGAATCTCTCAGTTTGTACTCATCCGATCCCTTCATCTTCTGCACTCAGATTCGGAGACGACATCCCCGGCATGGAGGGTCTCGGCACAGACATCACCGTGGTCTGCCCATGGGAAGCCTTCGGGGACATGGAGCTCAGCGACCTGGCCAAATATGGAATCGTCTAGCCCTGAATTTTCACAGTTGTCCCTCATGTTCTCTTAGCAGCTGAAATCTTGTTCATCTTATCTTGTTTGCTCAAGAGAGGAGAAGGCTTTTGATCATTCAAAGGTTTGACCAGGGAAAAAAAGAAATCCAATGCAGTTCAATTTGTAATATAAAATAGGTTTTGTTATATGTTATGGATTTCATGTCAAGATGCAAATATATCTATTTTGTGTATTAACCGAATACGTTTGCACTTGAAATCTTTATAAACTTTTCAGAAAACAACCTATTTTTTCCTTTACTTTTGAGAGAAACAATTCCAGAAACACAATTCAAAATTCAATTCAAAACCTTTATTTATCCAGGTAAAATCCCATTTAGATCAATGATCTCTTTTTCAAGGGAGACCTGCAGCAGTAGGTTCCACAAGAAGACATAAACAACAGAACAACAAAAGGACATCATACAGCAAAATGTACAGGGATTACAATTTACATATTTAACCACAAGTACAGGTACCAACAGCATCTGATTTTGTAGCATCCAACCGAGCTTTAAAAACATGTAGTGGTACTAGCTTGGTAATTTTCCATTCTTTTTGCAGACTGTTCCATGTTAGTGGAGCTGCACATCTAAAAGCTTTCTTCCCTAAGACAGTCCTAGCACTTGGCACATTTAATAAAACCACAGCATGCGATCTCAGGCAATAAGTACTTTCAATTCGCAGAGAGATCAGGGAGCAGATATAAGATGGTAGTTTATCCAACATGGCTTTGTAAATGAAAAAGTACCAGTGACTGAGCCTCCGTACAGTAAGTGATGGCATAACCGCCTTGGCATACAGGGTACAGTGATGCGTAAGTGCTTTACAATTTGTCAAAAATCTCAGTGCACTGTGATACGCAGCATCTAACTTGCTCAGGTAATTGGCAGGTGCATTCATATATAACAAATCACCATAATCCAGCACAGGTAAAAAGGTCACAGTGACTAGCCTTTTCCTGGCCTCAAGCGAAAAACAGGACTTATTTCTGTAAAAGAAACCTAGCCTAACCCTCAGCTTTTTAAGCAGGTTATTGACATGAAGTTTAAAAGTGAGACAGTCATCAAGCCAGATACCCAAGTATTTGTAACAGGTAACCACTTCAAGTGGTATTTCTTGCGTAGTTACAATATCCAAAGCAGTCTCTGGTGTATTTTTAGCTTTAGCTTTAGAAAAGAGCATTACCTTGGTTTTATCCACATTTAAAAGAAGCTTAAGCTCAGAGAGCTGAGCCTGAATAATGTTAAAAACAGCCTGTAATTTAACAACAGCCTCGTTAATCGAGGGACCTGCACAGTACATAACGGTATCGTCCGCATAAAAATGTAAAGTTGCTCCTTCGACATTTTCACCTAAACTATTAATATAGATAGAGAATAATAGCGGACCTAAAACTGAACCTTGTGGTACACCATTAGTGATGTTTAACCACTCAGAAGACAGCCCATCAAACTGAACACATTGTGATCTTTCAGAGAGGTAGTTTACAAACCACCCTACTGCATGGCTGGACATGCCTATACTGACCAGCCTTTGCTTCAAAATGCAATGATCGACAGTATCAAAAGCTTTGGATAGGTCAACAAATAGAGCTGCACAACTCTGCTTATTATCTAAAATACTCGTAATATCATTTACCACTTTCATTGTGGCAGTGATGGTGCTATGTTGCTTTCTGAAGCCTGACTGATGTTTAGACAGGATGCCATTGTTACATAAAAACTCCTTTACCTGTTCACTCACTAAGCGTTCAAGAACCTTGGCCAGAACTGACAACTTAGAGATGGGTCTATAATTGTTTAATAAGGTGGCCTCCCCTCCTTTTAGTAGTGGCAGGACATAAGCTGACTTCCATACTTTTGGGATTTTGTTCGTGCTGAGGGAGAGGTTAAAAAGAGTAGTAAGAGGTGGAGCAATAAAATCTGCAGCTATCTTTAAAAAGAAAGGTTCTACGTTGTCCGGACCAGCCGGCTTTTTAGGATCTAGCTTGGTTAAGACTTCACGAACAACATCAACAGTAAAAGGAGTAAAACTGAAGGGGTTTTCCAGACCACATTGTTCTGAGTCACCGACTGTGGTGTTCACAGAAGCAGAATTAGAAACAGAATGAAAGAGAGAGCCACAGGACACAAAATGCTCATTAAAACAATTTAGTATGGTGGTCCTATCCGATATAGTGCCAGATACTGTGGTAAGGCACGGAGGTAGCTCATTACGGATATCACCGGTGGATATCGATTTTATGGCTTTCCAGAATTTTCTAGGGTTGTTCAGGTTCTTTGTGGTAACTGACAGATAATACTTAGATTTAGCACTTTTGACATGTGAAGTGAAGCTATTTCTTAGCTGCCTAAAACGCAGCCATTCTACCTCTGAGCCTGAATTCCTAGCCTTTGCCCAGGCCTTGTTTCTCTCATGTAGGAGAATAGATAATTCAGCAGAAAACCAAGGATTGTCTCGTCCCTTCACTCTAAATTTACGCAGGGGTGCATGTCTATCTATAATTTCCATAAAACCAAGATAAAAATAAGACCATGCGGTTTCTACATCAGCACACAGATCGATTTTTCCCCAATCAAACCCAAACAGATCATGCACAAAACCCTGCTCCACAAAATGTTTGATGTCTCTCTTGATGATAATACGAGGTTTAACCTTTTGGACCTTAGTGTCCCTAATTGTGGCTACAACACAGTGGTCACTCAGATCATTCGCAAATACTCCCACAGCTGAGTATTTATAGGGAACATTAGTTAAAATGAGATCAATTAGGGAGGATTTATTTGGGGACTTAATATTAGGGCGAGTAGGACTGTCAACAATCTGAGTAACATTTAAAGAGATACAAAGGTTTTTAAAATCCTCTGACACTGCAGTTAACCAGTCCCAGTTAAAATCTCCAAGTAGCACTATTTCCTTGTAGTCTAGTTGCGATAAAATATTTGCTA